CAGGTCCACGTCATGCAATTCTCAACTATTTCGCGTACGGGATAGTCGTCTTTGTCGTACGCGACATCGGCGTTTACCGAGTGGCATTGGCACAAAGCAGACCGTTGACGGGGTCACGTGTCAAAAAGTATCAACAACGTGTCGACTAAGTGTCGACCACGTGTATAGCGGTACACTCAGCGGTACACTAATTCTCGTGCCATTCTCGTGTCACAAAACTGGAACATCGAGTACCAGTATGGAAAGGCTTCAGACAGGAAGCCTTTCCAATAATACTATTGGCCATGGCCCCGGCAACGATCACGTGTCATGTAAGAAATAACCTTTTCGGACGAGTCGAGTGCATCCTAGGCTCCGGCGGATTATGCTCGCGAAATCATGGAATTATGCTTTCATGGATTCTCGCATTATGCTCGCGAAATCCTCATAATTATTATGCTTTGGCACGCAGGGATACATACTCACTTTGTTGTACTTATGGAGCCTCAAAGTTCGGAAAATTGTGCCTTTTCGTACTTGCAAGTGGCCATTAGCACAACAAAATACATGAATATCCCCATACCAAGATGACCATGCATGCTAGAGATCAACATAGAAAGAGAAAACATGACTCCTTCTATTCATTAGTTGATTTCTTTTGTAAAAAATTTTTTTCATTGCCAAATTAGTTTGAGTTACCTTTGAAAATTATCATGTTCAACTGTCTTCGTAATCGTCATACTCGTCCAACCGATGTCACCCTCACCCTGCGACAAATCTGCTCATCTCTCCCGTAGCTCCACCTCTCCTTCCACCATGACCGAACATCAACTATACCTCATTTTTTAAATTTATATTTAGAACAATAACCATAGCTTGCACAGTCGATGGTCTCGATCCAGCGCGTTTCTCTGCACACCTTTTCGGAAAAGTTGCGAAGTAGTTAGTGAAAATGAAGAAAGTTGCGATTTCTTGCAAAACAACGGAAAGTTGCGAAAAAAGTGGCCAGCATCTTTGGAAAAGGGCTACTCCGAACCCTTTACCATGCGGACCACCAGCACTGATCAGTTGCATTGTACACAATTGTGTAGCTTACATACTGGAATTGTGGTACAACCATGTAGTTATGCTCCTACCTCCGAAAGGATGCCTCATTATGCTCCAAATTTTCAACCTCCAAATTATGCCAATAATTATGCCGGCATAATCCGCCGGTGCCTAGACTATATAGTGCATCCTTCCGTATTTGTTTCAGAGCAGTCACAGTACTCGTACTTGTAAAATCTTTGTAAAGGGATCTCGAGACGAGGCCACTTCGAGGATCGATATCGATCGTCCAGCCACAAATCTCGTTTCTTACATGACACGTGATCGTTGCCGGGGCCATGGCCAATAGGCGATCTTCCCGCCGCGGCCGTAATCAGGCCATCAGGACCGTTTGACGTCATTTCGGGAGTTTCAGGACCGTTTGACGTCATTTCGGGAATGTTAGGACCGTTTGTTTGACGTCATCTCGGGAATAATTTTTCGACCTTTGACCTTCCCTAATATGTTGCTTCGCGCTGTAAGAAATCAAATCAAGCACGCTCTGTCTGTCATGATGGTTGAATCTTGCCCTTGCCTGCAGCCCTCGGGCCTAGGCTACGGCCCTTGGGCTGCAGGCTCGGGCAAGATTCAGCCATCATGACCTCCTGAGCGTGCTTGATGAGTGCTTTCCAAAATTTGACTTTACCAGTGCAGCTTGGCAGACTCCCACTGGAAAAGCAACGGGAAGAACGCGCCAGGGAGGTGGAGCATGCTTCCTTTCTCCCACTGGTATTCAGTGCATCTGGTGGGTGCGACAAGGTAGCCCACGCTTTCCTGAAGCGTCTTGGCCACATGGTTTCGGAGAAGCGGCATGAACCCTACTCCTCCGTCATGTCCTGGATCCGCTCCCTTGGCCTTGTCTCCTTTGCTTTGGTTCGATCCTGCAACATGGGCCTCCGTGGTCACCGTGCTTCTCCCTACCGCAGTCGTTTTGGATGCTGCCAGTCCTGTTGTGCTGGCAGTCAACGACTGTCAGTTGCGTGACTGAGACTCTTACGGAGTAGCCGTGTCTAACCACACTTTTATTATCCGATGATCTTGTTTTGTTTGCTATTTATTTATTTATTTATTTCTGCACCTCGTGGCATGTCAAGACAGCCAATTGAATTGAGGAGAGGGTGAGACCAACCACGGAAGAAGAGAAAAAAAGAAAATTAAGAGCACGTACACAAAGTGGGAAGGGATTAGCAACTTACAAAGCAATGGGATGCTCAGCGAGCTATGCAGCGGAAGTGGTGACTGTGACTTTGTTTACTGGGAGATACTGAAGTGCTGTCTGACGAGGGTACGGAATTTGGGCATATCTGGAGCTTGTCTAACACTGGGAGGCAGTTGGAGCCACGTGGAGTAGGAGGAAAAGAAAGGGGAATTTACGAATAGGGTAGACCTAGCTAGGGGGAGACGAACGCAGCTTCGGGTGGTGCCACCTGAATTGAACCAATTAAGGGACTGTAAATGAGCAGGGTGCTGGTCAAGGAAAATTGAATGCGCCAGGGTGCACTTGGAAGCATCAAGGTAATGTTGCAGAGTGGTAGTGGATGCAGCAGCATACAAGTCTAGATTTGAGGTATAACGATCAGTACGGAATATGATTCGCAGTATACGGCGATGGAGAACTTCTAATTTACCTATGTGGGTTTTGTTAATGGTGGACCAGGCAGGGAAGCCGTACGTGAAGAGGGGAAGAATGTATGATTTATAAAAATTAATCCGGCAATTTTTGGGCAAATGGGACAAGTGACTTGACATTATGCCGACAGATCGGCATACTTTGGACGACACATGATCAGCATGGTGAGACCAGGAGAGGGCGGAATCTATGACAATGCCAAGGTGTTTATGGTGGGGCGCTACAGAGATAGGGTGACCGGGATCATCGGGAAAGTGGAAGATGGGCACTGGATCTGTGGGAGGGGGAAACAGGAGGAGCTCGGTTTTGGTCACATTTGGCTTAAGGTACCAAGTGCTCATCCAGTGAACAATGTCGTTGATACAGGTCTGAACTTTGGGGTACAGGGTGGTGTGAGATGGGGAGGAAGCAAGGACAGTGGTATCATCTGCAAACAAAGAAATATTGGGAATTGAATAGGGGAGGTCATTAACGTATGTGAGGAAGAGCAGGGGACCTAAAATGGAGCCCTGGGGCACTCCGGATGTCACAGACTCGGGGTCAGATAAGGTTCCATTTACTGTGACGCACTGATTTCGGTCCAAGAGGTAGCTAGTTATCCAGGCGAGTAGGGAGCCGGAGACACCATGGGCACGAAGTTTGGCGATCAGGCCCTTGTGCCACACGGTGTCGAAGGCCTTGGAGAGGTCGAAGAAACAGATGCAGGAGACCTGCCGCTGGTCTTTTAGGGAGCAGAGGTCTTGGATTATGCGGGATAATTGCAGGGATGTGTTGTCCTTACGACGGAAGCCAGATTGTGCGGGGTGAAGAAGAGGGGAGATATGGTCGTACAAGCGGTCGTACACTATTCTCTCTAGCAGTTTGGAGACGCAGGACAGGAGGGAGATATGATTCCGTGATTTTCTGTTGGTTGCTTTTCTGCTGTGCGAATAAATGCAGTGTCCACAAAAAAAGGCTCTACACAAGAACTTTACGTAGAGTATAATCTACCCACCAAGGCCAAGGGTGCAGGGTCATGACCTGAACTCTAGTCTTGATGCCTGGCCAGGATGTAGCCTTTCTAAAAATAGGCTAGGAGTCCGACACTAGGCAACTAGCACTTCGCAGCGCCGAGCCAGCTGCACGCGCACGGGATGATGATCACGATGACAGCCCTTCAAGTAGACCTGGTAGACTACGAGCGTAGCCGTCTTTCCTTCTTTGAACTGCTGAGTCAGTGAGTGTAGACTCGAGAGTCGAGTACAGAACCTCAGTACAGTACAGTACACCATGGTACACCACGGTAGAGTCTACACTGTCTTTGTCTTTGTACTTGTAGACCCAGGTGCTCGAAGTCCGTACATGGTATCCTAAGTTCGTACGCCCATAATTTCATGTTCTGTTATTGTATTCGACTCAAATATTTTATGGAGGGGACAGCGTGGTATGTTCTCCTCGCGTACCAATTTTCAGGGATCTACGATAAGCAGAAGTCCCATACCACGCGAGTGGGTTTTCGAGTGTCCATACGAAATACAAATTGGGTTACATTTCATGCAAAAATCAACTTTGCCAAGACCGATTTCGAACGGACACAGCGTCAAACGGACCTTCACTCAATCATCAAGAGCCAGCTTAGAGCTGACAATGGCCAGAGGAGAAGAATTTACAGAGAACCACCAATCCTTGCAGAACGGTTGACACTCCTGGCATCTCCACCACTGTTTTCCCGCGGTTTTCACAGCGCAGCTGCTTCTTCTCTGAGCCGACTAAAACAGCTTGCATTTCGGCAACAAACTACGCTTTTGCAAGAAATGCTGGTGGAGGCACATGCCAAACATATCCCTTCGGTGCTTTCGTCGTAACCGAGGGATTGCTAGTTAGCAATTAGCGGAAATATGTGCGTATTTCGAGTCACCTCTGATCAGTACGGACTTAGAGTACCCTCTGCGACACCAAAATTTGATATGAAAAATCAGCGAACTCCAGAGAAACAGATCGGATCGAAAGATGGCCTGGTTCAATCGAGCCTGGCCTCAGAACAAACTTGGACAAGATGCCTTCCATCCATGAGCAGGATTCTGGCAAGTGATCATTGCTAGTGTGAGTTTCAGCTCGGCAAACACACACTGTAAAAGTGTACGGACTTCGAGCACCTGGGTCTACTAGTTGTACGGCATGCCGCATGCAATTATTTCAATAGACGTCATAAAAGGCATTATTTTCTCTGCGATGTACTACGTACTGTACTATACAATACTATACTCTGTAGTGTAGGGTTCGCGTACACGCGTTCCTTCGTTTTGTAACTATGTAGTCGGCAGGCACTACACTGCATGTGATTTCACGGCTCTATGTGATCTGAAGTCTTCATTGATTTTCGTCACCCAGCTAGGCCACTAGGCGTTGTTGAGGTTCTCTGCTCGGCAGTGCTTTCCAAAATTTGACTTTACCAGCTTGGCAGACGCCCACTGGAAAAGCAACGGGGCTTCGTCGGAACTTTTGGGTAAATAATTTTTGCTCTGGTGCCGAAGTTGTACTTTCTTGCTAGTAGATCTACGGAGAGCAGTATTGCAGCGACGGATGCAGCTAGTCCAACAAGTAGTTAGGAGGTCAGCACAGCTTTCCTGTTTTGCTCGATACTAGTGAGAGATACTGAGGTTCTGCCGAGCCTGGTGCTGGACATGGAGTTGGTCCACAAGCTGGCATGTGTTCTCCTTGGCTGCTGGCTAGCTTTAGCTCAAGCACAGGAGCCTACTTGCACCCAAACACTCGGTGAGTTTTTTTGTAGGTCCGTGATGTATTCTGTGATTTAGTTTTTGAAGTGCCTGAGTGTACCATAGTTTCTCTTTTCTTTATGAGAAACTTTTTAATACCGGTACTAGAGGCTGGTAGGAGCTGAGTGTCCTTCCCATTCACTCACCGTCTCTCTCTCTCTCTCTCTCTCTCTCTCTCTCTCTCTCTCTCTCTCTCTCTCTCTCTCTCTCTCTCTCTCTCTCTCTCTCTCTCTCTCTCTCTCTCTCTCTCTCTCTCTCTCTCGCGATTTTGTGATGAGGTGCTGATCTGGGGCCGGGAGGGCCGTAGGTTAGCAAATATGCCGGTTCTAGCCTTTGTGTGTGAGGAAGGAGAGCGCTATCTGAACTCGTGTGTGTTCTCGTGTAGTGCACTCCGTGCCACGCAACAGCTACATGATTGTATTCAGTTGTGTCGTCCTAGATGTACTTGTCTACCCGGTTGCCTGATATTTTCGGCAACATTTGTAACGACACGCCACCAAATTTGTTTCGTAACTGTGACAGTGCATCGGCGCATGCGGTGTAATGCTGCTCTTACTCTGTTCTTCTCTTGTGACATCTGAGAATGTTCCTTGTGTTATCCGTGCACGACGTTGTCGCAGAGTGTGAACAACTAACTTCACAGAAGCGCGGATGTAAATAGCTGCACTTGTTGCCTCTCCGCCGTCGTTCTTCTTAGCGTTCGTTTGTTCTTTCACATGTACGATGGTGTTCGAAATCGAAATCCTTCCAATTAATTTGTAGTGCGTCTGTTTTCTGGTTCGTGTTGGGGGTGTACCGGTGTGTGCAGCGAAATACGTTTTGAGTGCCCGGGCTTTGATACTGACTTGTATGCGTTACGACTGATGAGTGATGTTGCCGCGCGGTTCCGTCACAAAGTAACTGTTACTTACAAGAGTACACTGTATTTGGAGAGGCTTTCTTTTCCATGATTGTGTCATGATGTTGCAGCCGATTACATTTTTGTAGTAAATCGCTCGTCACGCTTCACTTGGTGCGTGAGTTCTAAAATGATGCGATTGATGGGGACCCCCGTCCCACCGCCAGCACCGCGCGGATCGGAGGGCCTGAAATTTATCTTCTGTGATGGGAGTCCTTTGCCGTCCTCCCTCGGTGTCTCTAGAGTCTGCTTCCGCCCGTTGCTGTCCCGCAATCTATATCGACGCTGCGTGTGTGAAAAATTCTAGACAATCAGCGCCCATCATGAAGAGTGTTTGATGAACCAGTCGCGGGTGTAGTTTTGCAGCGCAAACAGTCCTTCTGGGCGCGCGAACGAAACAAATCAGGTGGGCACATGTCGCCGCGCCCCAAAATTTGACATCTGCGGTGGCAGAAGGCTCAGACATTCCCTGATCCCTGAAGTCGGTCACTGTTGAAGCGAACGGAACTGGAGTTGTGTTGAGAACCTTGAACTGCAGGCGCGCAGCATTGTCCTGTCGTTTGGTGTTGTCCTTAGTTTTCGCCCCTTTCTCCTAGCCTATGTCTGACAGGTGCTGTAAAGTTGCCTGGGCGCGTGGAATCCGTCTACTACTACGTAGATCTACTACTTTGCACTGGTTTCATCTGAACTGTCCATAGTTTTTGATTCATCGATGTCGTGTTCGCAGATCACATACACTCGTCCGTATCCAAGTTTTGTACGTTCTGTGTAGTGGTGCAGCGATGTCGTTTTTGGGTTTGTGGCAGGGCAGTTGTAAAAATAGTGTAAAAATAATCGTTCATAGGTACCGTCGTGGATGCGTTCTTCTTCCGTGCGGCTGCTCGTGGCAGGCTAACACATTGGCGTGACAACTAACATCTTGACTTCAGTTCTGGCTAGGCTCTTATGTCAGTTCTGAGCTAGTACACTGGAACCAACCGCGATACAGCGCGGTGTGACCTGATGTCAGTGATGGTGGAAAAGTCTGCTCTACTGACATCCACTTCTCTCCAGGTTTGACTGAACAAAAATTACTTTGGTGAACAGCAAGTGCTGAAGTGGCCCGGACAGCTGATGTGGGTGGACTGTGGTCCGTGGAGTGACAGGCGCAGCAGATCTGCTGCCTTTCTTGGGTGTATACTAGTACTAGTACTACTAGTACCTAGGGTGGACAAACTGTGATTGTAGTATTTGTACTGAGTGATAAGGCAGTGCCCTACATGTGTGTGTGTGTGTGTGTGTGTGTGTGTGTGTGTGTGTGTGTGTGTGTGTGTGTGTGTGTGTGTGTGTGTATTGTAGTGTGTAGAGTGTACATAGTGATTTTGTTACTGTAGTGTACACATATTGACATAACATGAAGGTGACACAATCAATGAATCCAGCATTGCAGCAGTACATGTAGTACAAGTAACTTCAGAAGTATTTAGTTGTGCTAAACCATTTGCACAAGCAGTTCATTAGTCACACTATGTACTACCATAACTAAGCCTGCTGCTATTCTGTGAGAGAGTGTCCTAGAACTAACACCTGCTCTTCAGCTAGCAGCTAGCCCCAACTTGAACCAGAGAGAATGAGCAAGCCCCCCCCCCCCCCCACACACACCTGTCCTGTCCTGTAGAGCCCCCCCCCCCCCCCCTCCCCACACACACACACATACAAACACACACACACACATACAAACACATACACTGTATACATGTACACTATCAGCTAGGCTCCTTGTTGTGTGCTCTTGGCTTCAGTATGGCACTTGCCACCCACATGAGTGCATAGTGCACACACACACACACACCACACACACACACACACACACTACTGCTAGTCCATGGCGACAGAGGCTCCCTGAGTCAATTTTAGTTTTTAGTTTCTAGAGAGACTCTTCACAGTCTTCAGTCTTGTTCAGTTGTGGGTAGTGACGTAAAGGACACAGTGCTGCATGGTGTTTGGGTAATGGTGACACAGCAAAGGCAAACTGGAGTGCACTGATCTCATTATGATAAGTAGGATCATGAGCAGTTTGATTGGCTGAGTTGTTGATCCCCATACAGTCATACCACCGGTGTACAGAGCCCCTCTATACCTACATGTACATAGTCATTGTATGTGCCCAGCTAGATACTTGTACGGTCATGTTCATGTAAGCTGTATGGTCTATGGAGGTGGAGTGGGGCCTGAGTACATGGAGTGATGACATACACACATCTACAGACTTGTGATGAGTTTCAGTGTAGCATGGTGAGTGTGCAACTCTGTCTAAGTAATGGAAATGATGAGTGTGCAACTATACCCCTGTTTCAGTTTGTTCCACTGCAGTGATGGGGGGGGGGGGGGGGTATAACTTTGAATGCCTAATTAGGCTGGTTTTCTTAGTTCATTTCCCTCCTAAAACTCCTTGCGTTCCACCTCAGTCCTGCCCTGTTAAAGTTAGCAGCTTATGTCCTGCCTGCCCTATGACTATGTGTTACAGCTCTGCAGTGGGATGCTGGGTGTGTGTGTGTGTGTGTGTGTGTGTGTGTGTGTGACATTCCAAGTAAAAAGTAAACTACCTTCCCACATTCCCTTTACCACTGTTGCCACCACTGGCTTACAGAAACACAACCAGCTTTGTGTGACATGACATTGTTGAAGAAATCTATGTAACTTGTTGTGGAGAAATGATTTGGTGAATTTGGGAGTGGGGGGAGGGGGGAGGTCAGTGTGTCTGCAATTGTAAACGTACCGATACTAGCGAATGTGATGTCCATGTCTGTATGGCTTAGCTCAGTTCGTTAGCGACATACACATGAATGCACCCAGACGCACTGTGGTGTTCACATACACAGACACACACACACACACACACACACACACACACACACACACACACACACACACACACACACACACACACACACACACACACACACACACACACACACACACACACACACATGCAGATCTGTTCACATGCACACACAGCTGTGTTCACATACACGCACAGCTGTGTTCACATACACTGGCTGCATACTCCAGTAGTGAATGTTGCATGCATGTGTTTTTTTTTCTGCAATCCTTGTGAATTGCGCAAAGCCAACGGAATGTTATGCAACAAAAAGTGTGTGTGTGTGCGCCCCTCGTAAGTCCTAGACTGAAGGTGTCCTAATGTCCAACAACCATGGAATTGTAGTGTCTGTGATGTGTTAGCTCTGATCAGCAACACCACCTGTAGTGTCTGATGAAGTGTTACCCTGACCGGCGTGGAGTAAAGACTTTGAAGTGCCATACTCCACAGCCCCTGGGGGATGCTATGACCGTAGACTCGGTACACCTGCTCTCCAAAGACTAGGCTGCATGGATGCAGCACAGGGTTTAGCTAGTACTACAAGCACTAGTAGGAGTAGTAGTAGTCAAGTATGATGTGACTGACGTACAGCCTACAGGTACTGTCTTGTTACCCCCCCCCCCCCCATAGCTATAATATTATTATGTACATGTACATTCGAAATACTGTATAAGCAGAAATATTCGTCTGGAATTTAATTTCGTCTTTTTCGTCCATGGAGCTTTTGGACTAAATTAAACGTAGGACTAATGTCGATTTGCCCAGCGTTTCTATACACTCTTATGATCCATGGACGAACTCCTTTTCTTTGGAGTTGGACGAAATTATTGACCTACGAAATTTTCTGCCTCTACAGTATTCCCTTTCACCCCCCCCCCCCCCCCTAGCTATAATATTATGTACATGTACATTCGAAATACTGTATAAGCAGAAATATTCGTCTGGAATTTAATTTCGTCTTTTTCGTCCATGGAGCTTTTGGACTAAATTAAACGTAGGACTAATGTCGATTTGCCCAGCGTTTCTATACACTCTTATGATACATGGACGAACTCCTTTTCTTTGGAGTTGGACGAAATTATTGACCTACGAAATTTTCTGCCTCTACAGTATTCCCTTTCACCCCCCCCCCCCCTGGCTATACATGTAGTCATTCTCCTTCCCCCATGCATGGGCCATGGGCATGGTACATGTAGCCTCATGGGCATGTATACTCTCCCCTACACGGACTTGTGTTGCCCTTCACTGCGGCTTCAGAACGCCTCGTGACCGTGTTGCAGTATACTAGTAATTCATGCATGCATGCGTGTACACCCATGGCTTCAGCTGTGCACGATCTGGGGAGTACTGCGCACTTACTCGCACCTGTGTATGGGTTTGGTGGAGGGAGTACAGGTACCCAGGGGAGACGTACTCTCTCTCTCAAAATTGGAAATTCACAGTGTGCTGCTGTCGTCGTGGAATCCACGTTCACCCTGCTAGTGTCCAGTGCATGTTGAATGTCATTTTACTAATTTGACATGTACAGCGTTCTGAATCCCAGTGGACTAATGTGTTGTTTATTGTGATATAAGTTTAGTCCCCCGACAGGTTATTGCCTCTTTACCGGACACTTTCTTTTGACGCATACAAGTGCTCACGCCGGGAAAACAGCAGGTGCTTCCTGACACATTGCGATTACAACAAGAGGCCGCCTGTCAAAATTCTGATTTTTACAGAGAAACTCACTGTACGCTGTCTTTCCGAGACGCCTTGTGTCAGGCTGCGTGTGAGCATTTGTTGTACCACCGCGCACTGTGTGTCGGCCGAGAATATAGTGCGCGCGTGGGAGTGCAATTAACACAACCTAGTTTGATCCGTGATTAAAGTGTTCAATGCACGTGTAATAGGATATTTAATAGGACCGTATGGTACATAAGTGACTCGCCGAGAACATGTATAAAAATAATAACATGTAATAGGGTATTAACCTGTAATAGTATATCTTCTCCGGAATACTAGCACACTGTGAAGACAGTAATAGACACTCTGCGTGTGGACGGCCCGTGCTGCTGACATAGAGATTTGGTGAAAAGGTGGAGTCCTCGGGGGGGGGGGGGGGGGGGGGGGCGCAGACTGTCCATATGTGCAGAGTCAACACTACAGTTTCTGTGTCAGAGATGTGGGAGTGTCTAGGTATACTTTAGTGACCAGCATCTCCCTTCGCATACAGTGCATACTCTAGTGCCTTGGCTTTTGGTGGAATCCAGAAACGACTTGCCTGGTTTTCTCTACGGAGAGAATCGAAAATAAAGTTACGCTGGGAACAGTGTGTTTTACAGCAGCGCAGATCTATGATTCTGGACCTTGGTGCTGCATCGGCTATTCTGCCTAATGTGTTATGACTGGTGTACGAGAAAATTAATAGATGTGCGTGGAAATAGCATCGTGCTGACAATGGGTTTGGTTGTGCTTTTATAGAGGCCAAGGTAACTTCATGTTCAGTTGTTGATGCTGGTGCTCTGGGGGTGGTCTTTGGTGGCTGGACATCCTGTGGCTACAGTGTCTCAGATTCACTTTTAAAATGTCTATACTTGGCTTGCTTCCTGAGCTGGTAGATGATAATTGGCAGCACTGGTTTGAGCGGGATGTGATTTGGACGAGAATGTTCCTCTTTTGGCCCAGCAGCTCTGTCTTGCCCGCCCGGTGCAATGCTCAGCTCTGTGGAGTTGATAACGAAATCAGCTGTGCAGAATCAATCCCCTGGAGTGCCAGGGTCCTGTCCCGCCCACCACTGGATCCTGGCATGTCCACCAGGAGTCCTTGACTTTGTGGAGCTTCACAAAGTTACCAATGTCATCACCATCATCATTTCAGTACTTGTTGTTGTGCAGTCAGACCTCTTATCCCGGCCCTCATTTATCCTGATTCCCGCCATTCGGAAGAAAATAGCTAGTTACAGCTTTACAGCATACAAAATGCATCCAACATAGCCCTTGTTCGGTTATTTCCGTTCCGTCCCCTATCCGGGATATTTTGAGGAGGAACGCGGACGTGACGTGCCATTAAGCCTATACAACTTGTATACAACTCCTTGTACTAGCTGTGTTCTGTTGTGCATGCTGGCTGTAGAGTGTAGTACTGATGTGAGTAATTAGTTCTGTTCAAAGTGGACTTCAGAAGTACATGAAGCTGTAATTGAATTGTCCCTACCACTGCAGTTGGTAGTTGTAGCCTCTGTGTGTGTGTGTGGGGGGCACTGGGGTGTCCGTGCTATCCAGTTGCTGTGGAGAGCATTTTGTGTGTGTGCTACCTGCTTCCATGTCCCTGCCGCGTGCCTGCTTTCTGAATTGGAAGTCCGAGCTGGAGAGGTTTGGAGAGAGGCACTCTGGCTAGCGATGGGTCCTCAGAGAAGTAGCGATGGCAGCAGTAGTGGCTCTTCCAGCTGTAGACAATAGGCTGGTTGTGTTAGCGTGTTCTTCTTGTGCACTGTGTAGTGATGCTGTCACTGTCATTATGTACTGCATCCCGGATCTGGTTGTGCAGGCATGTGCTGTCAACTTTTGACTTGAGCCAGGATCTCACTCACGAGTCCTGGTGCCTTCATGTTGATCAGTCTTGTGATCTCTTCAGTCCATTGTCAGTGGGCCCTGTGCTCTCTTTGGTTCTCGGAGAAAAAAACACACTGGCCGAAGGCATACAGTCTCTCCCGGCAGGCTCTCAGCCCCCCCCCCCCCCCCCACACACACACACAGTACGTGTGTGTGTGTGTCTCTCTCTCTCTCTCTCTCTCTCTCTCTCTCTCTCTCTCTCTCTCTCTCTCTCTCTCTCTCTCTCTCTCTCTCTCTCTCTCTCTCTCTCTCTCCCTCCCCCTCCATCTCTGTCTGCTTCTGCGTCACCTCTGCTGCACATTTCCATTGAAGCCTTCTTCCCTCCATACACTACTTAGCCGCATGGCGCCTGTGGGGAATCAGTCAAGGAAAACACACGTACAGTTTGATTTGAGTACACTTGTGCTAGTAGTAGAGCCAGCGTGTGTGCATGTCTGTGCCTATATGGGTTGTTCCTATTTGAATGGGTACTTATGCTCTGCTGACAGCACAAGAGAAAACCATTCACCTGTACTGAGGAAATCGCCTAAATTCTTTCCCCCATCCTGTGATGACTTCTGACTGCATGAATGCCAGAGCTCTTTACGGAACTCTTTAGGGCAGCTATTTTGTAGCAAGTGGATTGTTCCAGAAACCAGAGCTCTCTTGGCCACGCTTCCTTGGCTTGAGACACTCTCTTATGGCCACACTTCCTAGGCGTGCGGCAATCTCTTATGGCCACACTTCCTAGGCCTGAGACTGTCTCTCTTGGCCACACTTCCTAGGCGTGCGACAAGAGGCTAGCACTGTTGTGCTGGCCATGCCTAAAGAGCAATCAATGGAAATGGAATAGCTATTCCCACGGGACATTTGGTCCGAAATGTGCTGCTCTGTTCCACAGGCGTAGCAGCTGGGGCAGATGTGCAAATCTATGTGCCGGCAGTCCCTCAGGTCTGGGCTAATATAGATCATGGATTGGGATCATGCACAGTGAATGCAAGGGGCTTCACTACAGTACATGTGGCAGTGCGGCGATCATATCAATGCTTTTAAAAGGAACAGGACGGTATGGCTCACATTAAAAAAAAAAAAAGAAGGTATTTGTGCAGATCCTTTTCCTTGTGTGTGCATCACGCACGCTTCTATAAATACATATCCAACAGCAGCCTGCCTTCAGTACATGTGGCTGGAATCGTCCATGCGTGGCTAGCCAGCTGACTTCCAGGCATTCCTCCCGGACTTCCCACTGGCTTAGTGCGTACGCTGCATATAATTAGCGCAGAGTTCTGCTGTAGCTTGTACATGTGTTGCGTAGCGTGATCCAGTGGTCACCGAAGCATGTGCTGAATGTGTCGGTGGGCCAGAGGAAGTCACACCAGACGTGTTCTCTGCTGCACAGGAAGCCTAACAAGTGACACCTGACATGCGGTCGCGGGAACGCATCCGCACGACATTTGGGTCCTGTGCACGTTCCAGCTTTGCGAGGCTGGCCGCTCTATTGCGGGCATGTTACACGACTCGAGGCAGTGAATTTGACAATGTAGTTGCATACGTAGGAATTACAGAGTTCGTGTTCGTTTTCCTGTTTCTGCATTCCCACAACATCTCCATCAATAGTGTACCTCACCTTTCCCCATTCTGATCTATTTTTTATTTGTTATGCATGAGCACACTGACACACTGAAACACAAACACACGAACACGTACACACAAACACACACACACACGAGCACATGCGCACAAACACACGAACACACAAACACACATACGAACACAGATGCCCTAGAGAGCAGCAGGACACGTGACACTACGGGAAGGAAGTGGTTTGATGACGTCTGGTGGTTGATTTATCACGTCAGCCATTCCCATCCCGCACCTCGTAGTCCTGGAACGGAATATGATGCAATGAGGTTATGCTATGAATCACATGACTGTGTGCATTGCACAGTACAGATGTTACCTTATGCATGCCCTCTCGGTCTTATGCAAAGGGTACAGCACACCGCAAGGCGGACATCTGCGGTGTGATCGCGCTTATCCCACTGGAAGCTGCAGTGCAGCACACGCACATGCCCGCACGCACGCCCGCACACAAACACACACACACACACACACACACACACACACACACACACACACACACACACACACACACACACACACTCACACACTCGCACACTCGTACACTCGCACACCAGGTGCCATTCGAGCGTCAGACCTGCAAACACAGCGGGCTGTGCACTGGTGCCGGGTGCTGTGCAGCCCCAGACCTGTTAACTCTGGGCTTGCGTTGATGTGCGTGTGCGTGTGTGTGTGTGTGTGTGTGTCCGTGCGTGCGTGTGTGTGTGTGTGTGTGTGTGTGTGTGTGTGTGTGTGCACATGCATGCATGGAGGTTGAGTTTGAATTAAATCAAGAATGATGTGTCCCTTGTTTTGTTCACTTCTCGTGTGTCTGTCCACCAGACTCTGTGAGTCCGAGAATACAGCGACTGACTTGTCACGGGCCGAATTTCAACTTCTCCAAACTTCATTATGACACGGCGACGGAAACGCTATTCGCCGGCGGAACGTATGTACTTGTACATGTAATATGATTGGTTGTGGTTGTGGCTGTCAATGTAGTTGTGAGTGTGTGTCTGTGACTGTGTTATACTACCGTAATGTCGCGTGCATAAGCCGGATTTGTGCATAAGCCTGTCTCGTGTAGAAGCATGAAATCTGCAACAGCTTTTCGCGTACAAGCCTGTCGCATGCATAAGCCGGGCCAGTACACGAGACGCGCCACGTGTCGCGTGCGTAAGCCGGGCTACTACGCAAGACTGGTGAGCGCGCCTTTTACATGTTCATGTTTGCATGGTACCGTACACTTGCACACGCGGAAAACGTGGGAAGATGCGGAAATCAACACCAGCAAGTCAGCAGTTTGCGCATACAAGCCTGGTCATTGAGTGGTGCTTGTCATATAAGCCTGTCTCGTGTATAAGCCTGTCTTGTGTACAAGCCTGACTCCATCACCGGCTTATAGGCATATAAGCCCCGGCTAATGCATGCGACATTACGGTATGCGTAGTTATGATAATAATGCAGGTTAACGGGTGCACAGTGCTTCGCGTTACAGCTGTTATGTCAGCTGTTATGTCAACTGTTATGCTACGTCAATGACCTGCATTTGTTCTCTCTCTCTCTCTCTCTCTCTCTCTCTCTCTCTCTCTCTCTCTCTCTCTCTCTCTCTCTCTCTCTCTCTCTCTCTCTCTCTCTCTCTCTCTCTCTCTCTCTCTCTCTCTCTCTCTCTCTCTCTCTCTCTCTCTCTCTCTCTCTCTCTCTCTCTCTCTCTCTCTCTCTCTCTCTCTCTCTCTCTCTCTCTCTCTCTCTCTCACTGCATACTCGCACTCTCTCGCTGCATGCCTGCTCGCGAGTGACGCACGTCAGCTTGTTCACTGTGGTCACGTGTGCAGTACGTCACGGCAGCCGAAACAAGATGGTACAAACAAAGTTGCCGATTTCTTGGCCGTGCATACCAAAGCACTTCTTTTCTGTTTTGCCCCATTCTCTGTCTCATCACAATTTGTGTTCGTCAGATTTCCGTGTTTCACCCACTCACCTCCTCCCTTTCCACGTGACTCATTTACGTTTAAAAAGTAAATGCGCGCGTGTGTGTGTGTGCTTGCATGCATATGTGTGCGTGTGCACGCGCATGTGCGTGTGCAAATGTGCAAGCTTGTGTATATCTGCGCGTTTGTGTTTACATATGTGTGTGTGTGTGTGTGTGTGTGTGTGTGTGTGTGTGTGTGTGTGTGTGTGTGTGTGTGTCTGTTTGTTACTCTATTGTTAGTAATTTACTGATGTCACTGGACAAACAGGCTAACATCAATGAACAGGTACAGTCGCTGTTTGTCTTCCTTTTCCTCTTTCCTTGTTCATCTTTGTCACTGCTAGCACAGCCAAACTATTCAGCGACCCAACGACAGAACACTCACGCTTAAGGCTAGACACTTCCTTTTCGTGCTTCTTCTGAATCTCCAGGCGGGTTCATTGGGGTGTGTCGCTCCCTACGTGGGAGCTCGTGCTTTTCCTGTCAATTTGAATTCTCAATTGACTGCAGGGATGAATTTATCCTGTATCGCATCGCAGTTTGCGATGCAAAATCGATCTACTGCTACTCAAAGCCACCGTAACTCGCAGAAAACTGCAATACATACAGACTATCTATGCGTAGCGTGGGCTGTCAAGTAACATGCATACAGTGCAGCGTATGTGGTACAGGCACTCTCAGTCTGCAGGCATATGTAACATTCAATCGGGTTTTTTTTCCAAATGGGCTTTCAGGCATCACTCTCACGAAGGACAATGTGTAAACACCCAACCTTCAAAGAAAAATGCTAATCAAACTCAAAGACTGCTATACAATTGTGAATTTGTATAGCAGAAACTGCTATGCAAAAATATGACAATAAATTCATCCCTGGACTGACTCGCGACTGCCATCCAGATGGCGCGAGAAGTCCAGCAAATCTGGCCATACATGTATTGGAATTGACTGGAAAGTCCTTTCGCATCGAATGTTTGATACCGCTGGTTTTGTGACCTTATTTTGGGGCACTCACAGGCACGCACACAGTACACATGTACACACGCACACGCACACACACACACACACACACACACACACACACACACACACACACACACACACGCACACACACACGCACACACACACGCACACACACACACACACATACACATACACACACAAACTCTCTTTGCCTCTCCCCCTCTCTGTCTCTGCTTCTCTCTCTCTTTCTCGCTCAGGTGTCACTGGCAGATTCCGATCGACGTGATCGCTGTTTAGCAGCATGTGATCGCTGTGTTCAGACTGCCACTCCTGGCTCTGAAACGGCATCTTTCTGCTCTGCACCTGTAAGACATGCTTTCCCTTTGACAAGTTCATCCTTGCCGTATATAGACAAGTTGGTGGTGGTTGTGCTGGTTGTGGTGATGGTGCTGGTGATGGTGATGGTGCTGGTGATGATGGTAGTCGGTGGTTGCCTATGTATGTCTGTATGTATGCAGATGCACTGGCTCGTGTGTGAGCACATGCATGCGGGCTTCCGGTTCCAACTCGGCAGATGTTCTTGCTTCATGTGTGCACATGCCCTGGCGTTTGTTTTTGTTGTTGTTTTTTTGTTGCATACAGTCGGGTGTGACGGTGTGCCTGCCATGGCTGCGGCCTGTGTGTGAGAACTGGGTGTCTTTGATTCAACCGGTTGCAGACTCCAATGGTAAAAACTATCTGGTGACCTGTGGCACAGTGTCAACATTCACCAACGTTTCCAACTGTCAGATAAGATCGGTAAGCCTTTGTTAGCGCTCACACCCGTATGCAGGATAGCGATGTACTCAGTGTATCACTTTCAGCGTTTCCTAAATCAGGACCAATTTGCGATGAAATATTTTGTTGGCGATCCGAGTTTCAGAGTTGGCTAGTACTGGACTGTGCATGCGAAATGTCGATTGCCGCAGCGAACCTTTAGCATAAACACTCTTTTCTCTAAAATCGCTAAAATATCGCCTGCGCTAAAATTAGCCGTTTTGCAGTACAGTGGCTACTGCTCCGCGTATCACTAACATGTACACGCTGTTTTACATTCATTAGTGAGGTTATACAGCAGCACGTTATTTTTGACGTGACGCACAATTTCAAGTCAAATTGGCCATCGACTGCCGTAAAACGCCGAATTTTGACGTGGGGACGCAGCTCTCTTGCATTGTTTTCCAACGCGCGTGCGAAAGTAACGCGAGCGAAACTTTTGCGTCACGTCGAAACTTCCGTTCAGCTTAACTTCTCTCTTTTCTGCAGGCTTATTTCTTCTTCTGCCTGTATCGTCGTGAGAAGACAGGGATAGTTGTACTAGTGCTAACTAACTTTGGACTGTGGATTGTAAAGAACCCACGGCTTGTTTTCATTGTCAGTCTGATTGCATTTCTGTCTGTAAGAAACTTTTGGACAAATTGATGTATGTATGTTTGTATAATATATATTGTGTGTGTGTGTGTGTGTCGTCACGGGTTTGAGAACCGTGAACGAACTGCCTCTACGCCCCTCGCCACGCCACACAACAAAGAGCCAGTACAAATTGTTAGAGAGTTTTTTCTTCTACTTTGCTTCAGTAGGCGATGGAGAACTCATGGTTATCAGACAACTAACACTGACAACGGACGTCGGACGACTGACACTGAGACAAGACGAGACAACAGAATATATTATAGTGAAGGCGTACAACGGGGACAAGACGAGCAAGTGTGTACCAACGGGGACAGAAGACGGTGCAGCCGCATGTACGCAGGAGTCGAAAACAGCGCAGCAGCATGTACCACGACTCAGCAGCATGTACAACAAAGAGACACAAAAGCAGCCACATGTACGACAAAGAGCTACACGTGCAACCGCATGTACTACGAAGAGACACAAGCGCAGCCACATGTACAACACTCCCCCACCAAAAAAAGACATCCGCTCCTGTGGATGGAAGTGTATATATATTTAAAAAAAACAGAAGAAGACAGACCGGAGAAGAAGACAGAAAGACAGGATAAATGAAATGTGGAGCAACATAAACAGGCGACAATAAAACAGAAAAGAAGTGTGGCCACAACTGTTGAACGCATGACGAGTAGGCCAGGAGGGTTAACACCAGTCGGGAGCCCCGCAAAACTGTGCATCAATCAAACGGAACCTGCAAGCAACAGATTTTGCAGAGGACCCCGGCTGGCGAGCTGCTCGACCTGTAGTTGTCCCTTTGGATCTTGATTATTTGAACAGCACCAACCTAGTACGCCACCCACTCAACAGTCAAGACAAACAAAAAGTACATAATGCATGAGGAAACAGGGTTAAGCCGGCGGACCCAGCGACGCTGCCAAGAGCGGCGAGACCGACAGCACGCACCCACCGAGAAGAAGACTGGGGCAGCAGGACGCACACTGGCCGGCTGTCCGAAAACCGATGGCGCTACAGAAACTCCGAGAATCACAGGACACACACAGAAAGAGAGAAGGACTGACGCAAACATCTCAGCCATCACCAAAAATCAGAAAAGCACACGAAGGAAGGCAAGAACAGCCAGGAAGAACACGTCGACTGAAACAGGAGCAATTAATCAGTGAGGACACCATTGAGGACACACAAACAAATCGGTTACCAATACGCAAAAGATAATGAAGA